CGAACCCTCGGGCGGGAGCGCCGCCGCACTTCCCAAGCGGTGCACTGTAGCAGTGCGCCACCGGGCCGGCCCCTGTGCACCTACTTTGCCATACACACACACACACACACACACACACCCTCATGAAACGGCAGTAATGAGGCAACCACTACCCCTCTCCAACAGTCAGAAGAGAAAGAAATTGAGCACAAGGCTAAAAGTGCAGCGTTGACAACATCAGCAGGGCTTGCTCCAGACTCTAACCATATTTAGTATTTTGTTGTATGGTAAAGCACTTGGAAGGAGCACATGATCCTGCCAGATTCATTGAGGGAGGGACTTCTCTGTGAGAAGACGAGAGAAGCTCCACAAGCAGGGGGTAGGGGTGGGGGCTGAAGTCCGCCCTAGATCAGGGATCATTCAGGGGTCTGTGAACTTGGATGGGGAAGAAGTACATCTTTATTATCACTAACATTAGGAAGTCAAGCAAGGAATCACATGTAGTGTTAGCAATATTTGTGACTTTGTCACCAAGAAGAATCACAGATATTTTCATAGCCCAGTATGGTAATTACAGATACATGACATGCAGTCATGTGACATGTAGACCCTCGATAGTCTGGTTAATGGAAAACAGTAATTAAAAAGCACATGGGTTACCATGTACTAAATCTGTGCTTTAAAATTTTTTTTTTTTTTTTGAGACTGGCTGCACCGCGCTCAGCCAGGGAGCGCACCGGCCATCCCTATATAGGATCCGAACCTGCGGCGGGAGCACTGCTGCGCTCCCAGCGCCGCACTCTCCCGAGTGCGCCACGGGCTCGGCCCGCTTTAAAATATTTTGATAATCATTTTTAAAAAGTGGTTTCCTTGGGCCAAGCCCGTGGCGCACTCGGGAGAGTGCGGCGCTGTGAGCGCAGTGGCGCTCCCGCTGCGGGTTCGGATCCTATATAGGGATGGCCAGCGGGATGCGCTCACTGGCTGAGCGCGGTGCGGTCGGTCACAAAAAGGACAAAAAACAACAAAAAAGTGGTTTCCTTTGTAACCTTGTGCATTTTTTTTAAATGCATATGAAAGAATCATTCAGAAGAAGGGTCCATGGCTTCACCAGGCTGCCAAAGGGGTTGCTGACACAAAGAAGGTTCAGAATTTGAGCCCTGGAGCCGGGAGCTTCTGATCCAGGCCTATAGCATGCTATATGACCTCGGGCACATAACTTAACTCCCTGCGCTTCAGTTGCCTCATCTATAAAATGGAGATAATAGTCCCTATGACATGTGATGTTCACAGGGTTGAATGCGACAAAGTTCTGAGGACACTGTCTGCCTTACAGTGAGTGCCCATGCGTGAAAACCACTTCGTCATCCTGATTCCTCTTCCGCTTCCCAGGCACAGGGAGCTTCCCCAGCACATCTGCATCAGACAGAATTTCACCAGAGAAGGGCTGACTGGTTAGCCCAGTTGGTTAACCAACACAGTGTTATAATACCAAGGTCAAGGGTTCGGATCCCTGTACCGGCTACAAAAAAAAAAAAAAAAAAAAAGAATTCCACCAGAGCAACAGAACCGGTAGCAGATACACATTAAGAGATTTGTTGCAGGGAATCAGCTTACATGACTGTCAGGGCTGGCTAGGTAGGTCTGAAATCCACAGGGCAGGCTGTCAGGAGAGGCAGACTGAACTCCCTGGCCAAAGCTGCTGTCCACAGATGGAATTTCTTCTCAAGGAAGCCTCAGCTCTTCTCTTAAAGCCTTTCAACTGATTGATTCAGGCCCATCCGGACTATCTCCTTTATTTAAGGTCAACTGATTGTAGATATTCATCACATCTACAAGATACCTTCACAGCAACTCCTAGATGACTGTAGATGAGTGTTTGAATGACTGGGGATTGTAGCCTAGCCAAGTCAACACAGAAGACTGACCATGACAGCGCCCAAGGAGAGGGCAGTGAGTCCTGAAGAGTCTCACGTGGGGAGAAGGGGATAGTGAGTAGGGGGTAAGTGTGGGCCCCTCATTTAACTTCCCCAGTGTTCAGTGAGGCCTGCTCCCACTCTTATCTGGAGCCTTGCCCAGGGCTCTGCCCCTCACCACCCTTGTGTGGGACATCTGCGCCCCTCCCATGTGCCCACAGTAGACAGACATGGTCTTCTGGTGGAGAAGAAAAGAAACAGAAGCACATGGATACAAGACACGTACAGAGAACACCGTGTGCACCGAAAATGTGGTGAGCTCTAGGGCCTCAGGCAGCACTTCCAGGACACTCACTTGGGCCAGGCCTCACCCAGGATGACAGGCTGAACAAAATGTGGTCTGAGCCCTTGAGGGGCCCCGACCTGGTCGGGGTGACAGACAAGAAGGGGGACCAGAGACCCTCAGAAATACACATTGGGAGCGGTGGTCACCCAGAGAGCTGAGAGCCTCTTTAGGAGGGAATTTGGGGAGGGGTCTGCTGAGCTGTTTTGGCCCACTCTGGACCAGAATCTTGGTATAATGGCCAGGTAGACTTTTCCCTATTAGGGCCTTAGCTGGGGACTTCAAGAAGAAGCAAAAGTGTGTGTTAAGCATGACTGACTTCTCTCTCTGCTGAGAAATCCGGATGAGTTCCTGTGGGAGCCCCGAGTCTCTACCAGTTGCTCTGTGACTACTGCAGACACTGGCAGGGCTGCAGACACTGGCGGGGCCACAGCCCCTGTCCCTCTGCCTGAGGACAGTGCCTACAGACTTTTGCCAGCCGTCCATGTGGTCCAGTGTTCTGCGCACACTGAGGCAAGTGTCACTTCCTGCCTGGGATGCAAACTGGAAAGAGGCTCCATGTTGGGCAGCCCCTTGACACTTCCTGGGTAGCATGCCCCCTGGTGGCAGCGGGAGGTTATTCCTGTCTAATCCTCTCGTACCTATCTCTGTGTTTTCAATCAACTTACTTTTGTCTCTTCTCTTTGCCATCTGTTTTTTTTTCCTTTCATTCTCTCCTCTGAAACTGTGCTTTTTTTTTTTTTATTTATCCAGGTTCATGTAGGTTAGGCCACAGCAGCAGGAGTGCTTGGTTCTCTCTGGAAAGACCAAGGAAGGGTTCCCAGGGAAAAGCGGCCATCAGATCTGGATTTTATAATCCAGAGGATAAAGAAAGGAAGGGGTTTCCAGGCCCTGAAAACCACATACAAAGGCATGAGGACGTTAAAGACAAGGGATCATGAACACCACAGGCTGGTAAAATATAGGAAGGCAGGGAGAGGAGGAGATTATTTCCCGTTGGTAGAAATAAAATAGGAATGAGGAAGGGCATGAGAGAATCTGTCTACAATGCTGAAAATGGGAACAAGCCTCTGTCCTATCCTGGGTCGATCTGGGCCCTCATTAATTGGGAAACTGGAGTCAGATCTTCTAGACACAGTGAAAATTTTTGTTCTAAAGGACCCCTGCCATGTCCTGGTTTATGTGACTCATAAAGTGGCCTTCAGACAGAAAGAAACCCAGCTCACCAGTAACAAAAGGGCTCCAGGGACCAGAGGGGACGGGGCAGGGAACCGCCGCCCACACCAAGCACAGGCTTATTGCTGCTCCACCCCAACAGCGTTACCACCTAGAGGGGGATAGATCAGAGAGTTTAAATTCCACGCCTTCCTGCAAAATCATAACAGAATTCAAAAGTGCAAAGCGGGCAGGCAAGGAGGCTACGAGGCATGTGTACAGCCCTTTGGGGATGCCAGCCACGTCACCTGAGTTTTCTTATATAAGTCCCGTAACTACCCTTCCAGATATATGAGGTTAGCCTCATTTTGTAGTTGAGGAAACTGAAGCTCCGAGAGGTTAACCAACTTACCCGAGGTCACACAGCAGTTAAACAACACAAGTGGTATTTGAACCCAGTTCTACACACAACTTTCACAGGCTTTTTGCTGAGTTACATAGAGATCTGGATGTTCAGAAGCAAGTTGCAACAGTCATCGTAGTCATCCCCACAGACCGCTGGCAGGCAGGGAGGGAGCAATGCCACCATGCCTGTGATCATAGATATCATGACCTCCATTTGACAGATCATAAGACTGAGGCCTGAAAGGGAGTCACTCAGTCTGCCTGTGATGAGGCTAGACCACCCTCCCCCTCAGCTCCTCCAGGTCGTAGGGGCAGTGCCTCCAGCAGCTCTTTATGCTGCACTTCCCCAGCTCACAGTCCACAATATGAACGTGACCCCAGCCTCCTCCTCACGGGCAGAACAAAGGGCACTGAATGGGGGTCAGGAGGCATCAGCCAAAAGGTGACTCTGCAGGCGTTCTTGCTGTAGGCACACCTAGGTCACGAAAACCTGAGTTTCCACTCTGGTCCTAAGTCCCCATGCACTGAAGACATTGTGTTCATCCCTGGATCCTGTGCTTCCTCTGTAGAATAGGAGGGCAGGAGAGATGGTCTTCAAGCCCAAACATTCTGTGTTAACTCTGGTTCAGTACAACAGATTGTACTAGTCTGCTAGTGCTGCCGTAACAAAGACCGCAGACTGGGGGGCTTAAACAACAGAAATTCATTTTCTCACAGTTGTGGAAGCCAGAAGTCTTAGATCAAGGTGTCGTTTCTTCCAAGGCCTCTCTCCTTAGCTTGCAGGTGGCCACCTTCTCCCTGTGTCTTCACATAATCGTCCTCTGTGTGTTGTCTGTGTCTTAATCTTCTCTTCTTATAAAGACACCAATCATGGTGGGTTCGGGCCCACCCATATGACCTAATTTTATCTTAATTATCTATTTGAAGGTCACATTCTGATGTACTGGAGGCTAAGACTTCAACGTATAGCTGGGGAGGGGGACACAATTGAGCCCATAACACAGACAGAAGACACTCCTCATCTTATGAAAGAAGCTCCAGCCCCAGCCTTGAACAGTGGGCTTTCACTTAAAAGAGAATTTGATTCTCACTTTTTCCCAGGTCTACATCAATGGCACTAATGAGGCCTATCTGTCTGCAATCTGATATTAGGGGCCCTAAATAATCTTTCTATTTGCCACTTGCTGGGTACCAACCTCATGCCTGACACAAGCTAGGCATTGGCTGAAGGAGGGGGCGTAGAGTCCCTGCGCCTGGGAGCACACCACCGTAGAAGTAGAATAAAATGTGCTGGGTTTAGAGTAGAAAGTGCATGAGCTTCAGTGGCACGTCCCAGCAGAGCTAGCACCAACCAGGGGGCCTTGGACAAGAGATTTCTGTGAGCCTCTGTTTTATCATCTGGACAATGGTACTAACAGCACTGTGGCAGATATCACGTGCCCAGAGCATCTCGTGTGCACCTCCTTCGAACTGCCGCCACCTGCACCTCTGCACCTGCAGTGCAGGAAGAGCTGCTGGCTGCCAGAACCTGCTCTGCTCTCTTCTCCCTTGCATTGGAGGCTGGAAGAGCCCTGGAATCCGTGGATCACTGGAGCAGTCCTTCACCAGTGACCATGGAGTTGGTGTGTAAATACTCCAGTGTTCTTGTCCTTAAAGACTGACGCTCTAAGACACACGCTGCACACCTGTCCCTGCCCTGCCTCACTCCCCTCCTAGTGTCTCCTGGCCTCACCTCCCACGTGAGCTACTCACACTTGTGCTCTTGCCCCAGCTCTGTCACTCGCAGGATGGGAGGACGTGTGAGATCACGCGTGTACATTCATGCCTGTTTTCCATCACTTATAACAGCATACCTGAAACTGGGTAACTTACAAGAAAACAAAATTTATTTCTTACCGTTTTGGAGGCTGGAAGTCCAAGGTCCAGGAAACACATTTGTGACGGCCCTCTGCTTGGTGGGAACTCTGTACAGAGTCCCGTGGCAATGCAGAGTGTTTCACAGTGAGAATGGCCAGAGCTCTTCATGTGCTCCTTTTATAAAGCCACCTGTCCACTCCACATCCATGACAATCCATTAAACACTCAACCCATTACACCATGAATGGATGAATCCATTCACAGGCATACAGTCCTCATGATCCAATCACCTCTCAAAGGCCCTACCTTTCAAATATTATAAGATTTCCCACCCTCTTAACACTTACAAGGGGATCAAGTTTCCAGTATGTGAACTTTTGGGGACATATTTAACCCATAGCACTGTGGTAAGTACCCAGAAAGTGCCTGCTATTTTGTGGGTGGTGGTGAAGAGAACATTAAACTTACAATGCTTAAAAGGCTAGGAATTTGCATCCCTTCTGTCCTCTGATGCTCCCAAGAGTATGGTGGGTCCCTCCCTGGATTCCACCTGCCTCTCTTTAAGCCCTCAGCAGTGCCACAGGCTCTCTGAGCACCCCCAGCAGGGCTCCCCTCCTTCTGACTCTGGAAGCAGAGCTCCAGCCCTCACCCAGGTCCCTAGTCTTTTTGCCCCCTTGCCAATATAGGGTTGGGGGCAGGAGAAACAGCTGGCCCCATCCCCTGCCTGGGACTCTCTTCCT